GATGTCTAATATGAGGTAATGATAAGGGTTAGTAAATTATACACACGTAGCCAGACCAAGGTGCGCGGTGAAATTCTCTAGATGCCGGACCATGTATTTAGAGATACATAACTGAACGTTTTGTATGTAATACACTAGGAAATGATTGTTATTACTAGGATTACGGAGTTATGAGCTTATGGGGGAACACGTACGCCCTAGTTTCTTTCTCAATTTGATAACAACAAAAGTTTGATTCTTGCTTACTAATTGCTTTCATTATTTCCAAAATTTGTTACACAAATCCCTCCCCCCTTTTTACTTATTTGTCTTGGAAATACATTGGCTAAACAAATATAATAGTTATTGAACTTAAGTCTAAACCATATTCCTCGTGGGATCGACCCCAACCTACAAGTTGGGTTCTTTACATGATAACAATCGCTTATGCTTCTGCAAAGAGGTGTAATTTGAGCGTATCAAATTTTGGCGCCGCTGCAGGGGAATAAGGCTTTTAGATTAAGTTTAATTGCATTATTGAACTTTAGTCAAATATTTCCTAATTTTACTTTTTCTTTAGTTTTTGTCTTTCTCAGGGTCTTACTCTAGTGTATGCCAAGTACACTGAGCCAAGGCGAACCACTTACTCTCTACGATCCCGAACTGAATAGAGAACTTTGCGGAGAATGAATAATCAAGAAGTTCCGGTTAACCCTATCAGGGGAGAGTTAGGTGAAGGTGTTGGATTGCAACCTCCGAGGGTAATTGATGCGAATAATCAGGCTCCAGTTGAGAATATATTAGGAGATGCACTGAGGGCACATGAACCACAAGGACCACGTCTGCATGAAAATTTCAAGGTCAACCTTAATATTGCCGATTATGATGGACCTCTTGTCCTACCGGCTCTACCTCAAGGGCATGCATTTTTGGTGACCAGTAGCTTGATGCAGATGCTTATAGTGAGGAGCTTGTTTGTAGGGTTGCCAGCGGATGATTCACATGCTCACATAGCCAAACTTAATCATGTCTGCAAAAGTTGTATAGGTCGACTGTATTGGGATATGAACGTCATTGGGTTGCGTGTGTTTTCCCTATCATTGACCGGAGATGCTGCTGTGTGGTTCAATTAACTCCCTTACAACTCAATCTATACATGGGAACAGTTGACTGAGGCATTTTTAATAAGATTATTTCTAGTGTCCAAAATGTTGAACAAGAAGGATAAACTCAACAACTTTGTAGCATTACCTGGCGAGTCTATGAGTAGTTCTTGGGATAGGTTCCCTGCCTTCATGCGAGGTGTCCCGAATCACCGTAGTGATGATGAGTCATTGAAGGTGTACTTCTACCGAGGAAAAAATGAGAATGGTAAGGCAGTGTTCGATACTATTGCGGGAGGTTTGTATGCTGAATGCACTTTTGCAAAAATTACAGAGAAAATGGAGAACATATCTCAAAATAATAAATCTTGGAGCACTATAAAGTAAGACACTGGGAGGAGCACATTTGTCGTTCAATCTACAAACAACCAGCCCGCAGATGAGATTTGCGAGGAGATAGCACAGATGAGAACTGAACTAGGGTTGGTGTTAAGCATGTGACTTGAGGAGCGGAGAAGGTGAATGTTGTGAACTATTTGACTAGAACTCCACCACCGGCAGAGGAGTATTATTTTGAAGAGGATGCTTATGCGGTGAATGAGCAGACGGGGTGTAGCTGATCAATTGGTGCAAGGAGGAATTATGTTACAATCGTTTGAAGTAGCCTCATTTCTGCTAGATGGTATGACTAAAGTAAATCAGGCGTGGTATACCAAAGAAGATCAAGTTTCCCCACTATGTTTCCGATTAACGTAGGAACAGATCGAAAAAGAAAGGAAAAGGGACGAAAACATCAAGAAAATGTTATCTCAAATAGAAATCTTACAAGAGCATATGAAAGGAACACGTGGAGTATTTCGAGTTGAGAAGGGTTCTCCTTCCGGTTACTCAAGACCGGGGGAGAATAAAGGTTGGAACTCTAGAAGATACGAAGAGGGTTTCCACCCACGCTATCAACCGCGAGGCGGGAATCAAGGTTGGAACTATTATAGGGATGAAGAACCAATGAGATATTGGCCAGAATGGGCTGAGCGGGATGATCAGGAGGAAGACCATACCCACTTTGAGTGAAATCTCAAAATCTAAAGGGACTGCAAGTAGTCCTCAGGTAAATGATTTGCTGACGGACATACTCGATAAAGTTGAGGATTCTGATGATTTGCTAAAAGGAATGAAAGATGATTTTTCATCTTTAAATAGTAAGGTAAATTCTCATGATGATGCCATCAAAATGCTGTAAGGTAAATTGAGTTTAGTATCAACTCAATTGACATCCAAAACTCCAATGGACTGTATTGAAAAAGAGCTGGTTGTAGTTACCCGTAGCGTTAAGGTGGCAGTAGGGGATGTGATGGAAGATGAGGATCCTCAAAAATAGGAAGAGAGTGAAGGTGTGGAGGAACAAGATTTACCTATCCGACAAAACCTTGCTAAAGAACCACAGGAGGAAGAAGAGCAACAAGTTCAAGTCCCAAAATTCATGCATCCTTTACCTAGGATACCTCTACCATTTCCCCAACGTTTGAAGAAGAATAATGAAGATGAGAAATTAAAAAAACTTGTCAGTATTCAAGAGCTTATCAATTAACCTTCCTCTGGTAGAAGCATTGTTGGAAATGCCGAGATACGCCAAATTCATGAAAGAACTGGTTACAAAGAAAAGGAGCCTGGACTATGAAACGATTGAGGTACCCCATAGTTGCAGTGCAATTATGAAAAATGATTCAATAACTAAGAGAGAAGATCCTGTGGCATTCACAATTCCGTGCACAATTGGCATGCTTCAATTCGCTAAGGCTTGTGCGATTTAGGAGCAACATCAACTTGATGCCCTATTCTATATACAAGCAACTTGGTTTGGGTGAACCAAAGGCAACCACAATGAGACTCCTTATGGCTGATTAATCAATCAAACACCCAGTGGGGATACTCCATGACATATTGGTAAAAGTGGATCAGTTCATCTTTTCGGCTGATTTTGTGATTCTAGATTGTGAGATCGATGCTGAAATTCCTATTATTTTGGGAAGGCCATTTTTAGCCACCGGGAGAGCATTGGTGGATGTCAAAAGCGGGAAACTGAAATTCCGTGTGAATGATGATGAGTGACTTTCAATATTTGTAAATCCATGAAATGAACTAGTAATATCTATGTAGTGTCCATAGAGGATGTTATAGATGAGGCAGTGGCAAGTGGTAGCCACTTGATGCGCAAGAATAAACCCCTTGAATCTGTACTTGCTAATTATGATGAATCCGAAGTTCAGGATTACGAGGAAGTGGTAGTTGCTTTATCAGGGTTAGGAGCGTATTCAAGGAATCAAATCAAGTTGGATATCGACCTAAAAAATAGAGAAAGTCCTCCTGCAAAGCCATCAACAGAAGAACCACCAAATCTAGAGTTAAAAGCCCTACCCTCTTATCTCAAATATTTCTTCTTAGGAGCCAATAATACTTTACCGATAATTATCACCGCTGATCTACTTGAAAGCAGATGAAATTGCTCAATGAAGTATTGCGGAAACATATAAATGGTATTGGATGGACAATAGCTGATATAGTAGGAATTTCTCCTGGCGTCTGTACTTACAAGATTTGGCTAGACAATGAATGTAAACCTAGTGTGGAACATCAACGGAGATTTAACCCTCCAATGCAAGAAGTGGTGAAAAAGGAGATTATCAAGTGGCTAGATGCAACAGTTATCTACCCGATTGCATATAGTAAGTGGGTATGTCCAGTGCAATGTGTACCAAAAAAAAGAGGTATAACCGTAGTCCCAAATACAAAAGGAGAGCTTGTGCCGATAAGACCAGTAACTGGGTGGAGACTATGCATGGACTACCGAAAGCTTAACTCATGAACCAAGAAAGATAATTTTTCAATGCCTTTTATGGATCAGATGCTTGACCAATTATCAGAAAAAGAGTGGTATTGTTTTTAGGATGGGTACTCCGGCAACAATCAAATTTCTATTGCGCCGGAAGATCAAGAGAAAAACACTTTTACTTGCCCCTATGGAACATTCACCTTCAAAAGAATGACATTTGGGCTATGTAATGCCCCAAAAACTTTCCAGCGTTGCATGCTATCTATTTTTGTAGATATGGTCGAAGACTCTGTGGAGGTGTTCATGGACGACTTCTCAGTCATAGGTGATACGTTCGACGAGTGCTTGATTCATGTAAGGCAGGTACTCCAAAGATTCGTGGATACAAATCTGATTCTGAATTGGGAGAAATGTCACTTTATGGTAAAAGAAGGTATTGTTTTTGGGTATAAGGTGTCACAAAAAGGGCTAGAAGTTGACAAGGCAAAAATTGAGGTCATCGAGAAATTACCCCCGCCGATTTTAGTAAAGGGTGTTCATAGCTTCTTGTGGCATGCATGATTTTACAGAAGGTTCATTAAAGACTTCTCAAAGAATGCACTCCCATTATGCAAACTCTTAGAGAAGGAAGTGAAATTCCATTTTAATGATGCTTGTGTGGCTGCATTTCAGTGTTTGAAAGAGAAGCTAATATCCACTCCAATTATCATCAGCCCTAATTGGTCTGAATCTTTTGAGTTAATGTGTGATGCTAGCGGTATGGAACTGGGGCATGTGTTGGGGCAAAAGCGTAACAAACTGTTTCACCCAATCTACTACACATGCAAGACTCTTAATAGTGCCCAGCAAGATTACACGGTCACCGAACAAGAGTTGCTTGCAGGGGTCTATGTATTTGAAAAATTCAGGGATACCTGCTAGGCACCAAAGTAATCGTGCACACTGATCAAGCTGCACTCCGGTACTTGATGGCAAAGAAATAGGCAAAACCACGATTGATTAGGTGGGTACTACTATTACAAGAATTTGATTTTGAGGTAAAAGATCTAAGAGGATGCAAAAATCAAGTGGCTGATCATTTATCAAGGATGGAAGCTAAGGGGAATGTTGAGCATGAGGTTGACATAGACGACTCTTTCCCTGATGAATGGGTGTTTGCAATATCCCTCAAGTATACGCCTTGGTATGCAGATTTTGCACATTACATTGTGTGTGGGCTGATGCCGGATGAGTTGACCTTTTACCAACAGAAAAGATTTCTGTTCGATGTTAAAAAGTACTTTTGGGATGAACCATACTTGTTCCGAGAGTGTGCTGACCATGTCATTAGAAGGTGTGTTCCGGAAGAAGAAGCGGTAGAAATTCTCAATTCTTGCCGTACATCTCTAGTAAGAGGTCACCATGGTGGTGTTCGCACTGCCACTAAAGTTCTCCAGAGTGGATACTACTGGCCGCCACTCTACAATGATGCACATGAGTTTACAAAGAAATGCTCCAAATGTCAGCAGCAAGGCAGAGTGTCTAGAAAACACAAATTACCTCTCACTCCTATTTTAAAGGTCGAGCTATTGGATGTATCGGGGATCGATTTCATGGGCCCATTTGTGAGCTCGTTTGGAAATAAATATATCTTAGTGACTGTAGATTATGTTTCCAAATGGGTGGAAGCCATCGCACTTCCAAACAACGAAGGAAAAAGCGTTGTCCAATTTCTGAAACGCTACATCTTCGCAAGATTTGGCACTCCGAGAGCAATCATTAGCGATGGGGGATCCCACTTTTGCAATACGTTGTTTTCTATGGCACTAAGTAAATATGGGGTGAGACACAAAGTGGAAACCCCATATCATCCCCAAACAAGTGGTCAAGTCGAAGTGTCAAATCGGGAAATCAAAAGCATCTTGGAAAAGACAGTAAATGTCAATAGAACTGTCTGGTTTAGGAAACTCGATGATGCACTATGGGCATATCAGACTGCTTATAAAACACCTATCATGATGTCTCCATATCAGTTGGTTTATGGTAAGGAATGTAATTTGCCCGTCGAGTTAGAACACAAGGCACTGTGGGCATTGCAAGCTTTAAATTTGGATTGGTCAAAAACTTCAAGGGAGAGAGTAGAGCAGCTGAACGAACTGGATGAATTTAGACTCATATCATATGAAAGTTCATTCATCTATAAAGAGAAGATAAAGAAATGGGATGATGCTCGGATACTCGAGCAGGACTTCAAGGTAGGAGATTGGGTTTTGCTATACAACTCGCTACTTAGACTCTTCCCCGGAAAGCTCAAATCCAGAGGGTCTGGACCGTTAAGAGTAACGCGAGTCTTCATCAATGGGGCCATAGGAGTTGAATATCAGGAATGACCTCCATTTACAGTGAATGGTCAACGTATAAAATTGTATCTAGGAAAATGTCAAGAGATTTCGTTGGTCGAAGTGATATATCTTGAAGACGCCTCAAGGCGCTGCTGCGTCGTGCCGCGACATTAACTAAGGTGCTATTTGGGAGGCAACCCAAATTCCTTTTAATTGCTTTATTTTTTTATTAGTGTCAGTACTTATTTCCTGGTAATAGAAAGGTATGTTATTTGTGCAGGTGAAAGTACGCAAAGTGTTGGACAAAGTGAAGGATGGCAAACAATAGACCCTGTCGGCGAGTCGCCGAAGGGTTCGCGAATCCAACCCTATCCGTCATTTGACTTAAGACATCGTCAATGCTGACGTTTGTAAAACTCGGTGAGATTTGGAGAATATTTGCGACTCGCTTACCATTTCGGTAATTGTGAAGAAAACCATCATTTGGACCTTCACAATGACTCAAGATTCTCTAAAACTCGGTGAAACAAGTAAATGCTCGACGACACGCCAACCGAACCGGTGGTTTAGACTGATATCGCCGAGTACACAGAAAGTGGATGGAACTTGAGAAAAGCTGGAACAAGAACAGTCACAGAAGAACCATACCACCCTGACATATGGAGCAACCGTATAACCAAGATATATTCTTTACCTCTCTATTTGTTTTACTTATTTTTAGTTTTGGGTACTTTTATTCTTATTTGAGGACAACTACTTTTATTTGTGGTGGGGTGAGGCTTATTTTTTGTGCGCTTGTTTCAGTGATTCGTGTTTTGTATATATTTGGGTTGTTCTGTCCTAAATTGTGTTAAAACTGCTATGCAATTGTTTGAGCTTGTGGCTCCCTTACTTTTAATTGCAAAATGATTGATTTTAACCCTGCTGTATATTTTTGAATTTTTCGCACATTTCTGCCACCTCTCATATATTGAATGTGGCTGTTCTTTTGCAAAAAAATGAGACTCAGTTTCGATCAATATCGATGACTTAAATAGTGGCATACAATCGAACGAACATGAATGTACGGCTACGATAAGGCCAAATGAAGTTGCATAGACAATATGTGAACTCTTTGCATCTCATTGTGATTAGCCATTTATCAAATTGATTCTCTTGTAATGGCCGTTGCACACTAGCGAAAGTGTGTAGTCTTGTTTGACTTAAGTGTCGATGCCTTGTGTGTGATGAGCTTACTTTGAACCATTTATGAATAAACCTAGAATTTACCCCGTTAGTCTGATTGATTTAGTAAGGTGTGCTCTTGAAATGATCTTAGGCAACATTAAAGAGTGTGAGCCAATTTGACATATACCTCTTTTGTGGCCTACCTGTGAGCGTGTGAAACTCTTTTGAACACCCCTGGAGCCTTACTTTTCTTATGAAGAACCTTGATGAACCTTACACCTTACTTAATCCACTACCTATAATCCTCTTGATTTGTGGTTTAGTGAATAGCCAACAAAAGCCTAAGTTGGGGGTGTGGTGAAAAAGGAAAAGGAGAAGTCCAGATGTGCAAGAAATATCTCCCTTAACCCATGCTATTGTGGAAAAATGGAAACCCTCCATCTAAAAAAAAGGAAAGAAAAAGTGGAATAAAATACAAACAAAGTCGGGTTTCCAAGCAATCCATGGAGGTGAATAAAAAGATGACTTAGAAGCACTAGAAAAGGAATTGATAAAGGAAAATAAGGGAATGCTTTGAAAATACCACATCTCATAAGGAAAAAGTCACTGAGCCTAAATGACCATATCTTTGCACTCAGCCCCATTACAAGCCTTAGAAAGACCTTTTTGATTTTGAGTGAGCTGAATCGAAAATCGATTAGAAAATAAGGGCAAACCTATAGGTGAAAACATGAATTGTGTTCCTCTTTTTGAGTGTGAGTGTTGCATCTGATTCCTGATATTTAATTGGTTATCCTCTTTGTGTGAATGAGGAATCATTCTTTATGTGAGGACATTTAAATACTTTTTGTTGAGCTTGAACTTGTACAAGTAGCAAGTATTGCGAACATGAGAATCTTTGGTAGTGGTGTGTCACAACTTGAACCTCTGAGTACACAGTTGATCTTTGCATAAGTAATTTGAGTCTTGTTGTGTATGTTCACGATTTAGTCTTCTGTAGCACTATTTGAGACACCTTGTTGAACAACTAAACTTGAGTTTGCTTGAGGGCAAGCAAAAGTTTAAGTTGGGGGTGTTGATGAGTCCACAAATTGGACTTATTTAGGGGATTATTTTGATATTAATAGTGTCCTCAAATGCTTATTTTGTCTCAATATCTGATAAAAAATCTTAAGTTTAAGGTATTTGAAGTTTTGGTGGAAGCATGGACACATAGGCGCAAAAAAGAACAAAAAGGCTGAAAAGAACGAAGAAGCTGAAGCCTAGGCATCGCCAAGCACACTTGGCGATTCGTCGAAGGGACGAACTCCACCCTTTGTTCCAGTACGCGAAGCCCTCAAGGAGCAGGATCAAAAAGACTATGAAAGGAGTAGTCGGCATTTTGCGGAATAATTCCGCGAAGCAGTACTATCTCACCCAATGATGCACAACACCACCATGCTGAAGGCTAGTGCAAGACGGCGACGAACTACACCGAAGGGCGAATCACCGAGTAAATCGACGATTCTGACTTACCTCGCCGAAAGATCCGCCAACACTATTTTCTGAAGTCTATAAATACCAAATTTGTTATTAATTTTAAGGAGTCGAACATTAATTTTAATTTCCACTATAGAATAGAACTTTTTGGTATTTTTCTCTAAAGTTTGGAGAGGGTTTTGGGAACTTGAAGAAAGGAGTTCATCTTCCCCAAGTTTGAAGTAGGTCTTCTACATTTTTCTTACTTTTCTTAAATCAAGGTTTACTTTCTTATACCGATTTGATCTTAGTATCATTTTAGGTATATTTTGTTATGTTCCTTTGCTTAAATCAAGTTTTAATTTCCTATACCCATTTTATTTTAGTATCATTTTAGGTGTATTTTGTTATATCTTGATGTGTGGCTAAAAAACCCCATTCTTGGTGTGTGATTTAGCAAATGTGTGTTGATATTATTGTTGGGTCTTGCTTGCTGATAGGTTAGATGTATTTTAATGGTGATTTCACCTACTGGTTGTGGTATAATTTAATGGGTTTGTAGTTGCAAATACAAAACCACCCATGTGTTTTCGGCTTGCCCGAGAGGGAGGTCGCGAAACCAAGACCACTAGACTGATGGCCAAAGGAGTGGGTCGACATGAGGTTCAGCCCGAGAGGGTGAGTGGGGTTAGGCATAGGCTGGCCTTCATACGGCAAATGGGTGTCCGAGGGGAACGCATTTCAAACTTGGTAAGTTCCCCGAGAGGGAACTTATTTCCATCTAAAGCTTAGCCTAGTCACTAGTATCTTGCAAATTTCCTATCGAAAGCATGTACCCAACGATTTATCTCACCTTATATTGCAGTCACACCCCAAGAACTCTTCCCCATTACTTGTATTTTCTTGTTATTTTTGTTTTTTTTACTACTTGTGAACAAAACCCCCCTAAATTGATATTTGACACTTTTTGTATCACCCCCTTTAATTTACCATGTTTTTAATTGTGAATGTCTTTAGCTACGACTAGTTAGAATTAAATTTTATTTTTTCTATTAATTCTCAAAAACACTCCCTTGGGACACGAGCCCAACCTTTAGTTGGGTTACTATATTATCAACGATCGTAGACACTCATACCGTAGGTTAGTGTCGTTGGTCACGATAAGCATCAATCCTCCGCAGCACAAATTATAAAACACTATAAATACTTGTTTAAATTGTTAACTTAGTATCAAGTCATGGACAATTATTATTCAGACTTAGAATATTTTCAGTCTTAAGTTTTAGAGGGTTTTGGAGACTTTGTTCTATGACTTTGATGATTCAAAGGATTACAACTCCAAGAAATTGGACGTGGGTCTCGAAGATTCTTCAATCTTGACTTATTTTAAGACTTAATTCTTCATACCCAGTTGATGGAAACTGATATTGGTATAAATTTTTATCTCTTTTACATGTCTAAACCCCTAATATTTTGGGTGTGATTTTGTGAATATGGGTTAGATTATCTGTTGGGTCTTGCTTGTTGATGATTTATTTGTTGTTTAAATGTGATTTCGTTTAGTAGTTGTGTATGAACTTGATGGGATTATAGTTGGAAATACGATTTCATCTTAGTGTTTTTGGCTTGCTCGAAAGAGAGGTCGTAAAACTAAGATTACTAAATTGATAGCCTATGGTATTGGGTCGACATGGGTTCAGCTCGAGAGAGTGAATTGGCTAAGACAGAGGCCGTGCTTAATGTGCAACTCGGTGTTCGAGAGAAACCGAGTTGATTCGATGTAAGTTGCTCGAGAGATAATTTACCTCCACTATAGTCTTGCCTTGTCACAAATGTTCAACAATATACCATCAAAAGCATGTACCCGATATTCTAGTTTATCCCGTATACCTATCACATCCCAAGAATCCCATCTACCTATCTCGTTTCCTTATATTTTTGTTGTTTTTAATTGTTAATTAATAAAAACCTCATTCATAATTGGCGCTTGCGTCACCCCTTAGATTTGGTTTGTTTTTAATCGTTAATATCTATAGCTATGACTAATTAGAGCTTAATTTTATTTTTCTATTAATTATAAAAGCCACTTCCTTGGGACTCGACCCCCACCCATGGTTGGGTTACTTTACTATTGTACGATCGTAGAACCTTGAATTGGAAGTTGTGTCTTGATTACGCAAACATCAAAATGGGGCCGCTACCATGGAGTGGTGTTTTTTGAGAATTTGTAGTGTAGTAAAATTTTTGTTCTTCTTAATCATAGTTTACTTACTTAATTTTTAGTTTAGTTTTGTTTGCTTGTGTGAATATTTCAAGAAGTATAAGTGTTAATGGCAGCAACGGTAGCCAGGTGGGCAACCAAGACGACATCGGAAATCTCAACCAACTTTAATGACCCCCATCTCATGGGAGGTATTGAGGCC